ACATGGTATATACGTATAAGGTAAATTGTTGTCATGAAGAGTCTTTGTTATTTTACAAAAATATGACAACATAGAGGGAAAAAGAGAACACAAAATTAGTAACCTACAAAGCATTCATTATTATACATATTTCATTTATTACCAGCTGAATATTAAGATTAAATATTCCTGATAGAAAATTAACTTAAGACACTGTATTCATTTCAAACAGGACTAGTTTAGGAATTGCCTTAAAAGATCAGTTACAGAAGTTAGACGATTAGATATGATTTGAGTAAAGGTCAGTTTGCTTCATTGAATTACAGTTTATTATTTTGTTGTACCTTTAAAATCAATAGTGAATTATATAAGACAAAAGTAACTTTAGAAAATAACACTCAAAGTATTCAGTTAATTAATTACTAAGAAATTGTAATTTTATCTAAAGGTAAATATGATTTTTGATAAAAAAAGATGATGTACAGTCACGCATGACATTGCATATGGGTTGATCGAAGCAGAACATTAATACCGTTGGATGCTGGCTCAGTGGTCTTGAGGTTGTGTTCAAGTACAAAACCAAAGGTCTTGGAGTTAATTCTCTGGTGAGAAGTCGTGGATGCGCACTATTGAGGAGTTCCACACTGGGATTAAACGGCCGTCCATCGCTTCCAGGGTTCGAATGATGACCTTCCTAAAATCAATTCGTGAACATATCAAATTATGCACAAATCCACTACATTAATAGACATTTATTTATCTTGCAGTTTTCTAGAATTATGAACCATGTACTAATTCGTTTTTGCTTTCCAAATAGACAACATCGCTATCAATAAACTAGTTTCAAATAAAAATAATATATTTGTATTATCCCAATGAGTAGAAAATTGGATTTTCTGACGTTTCGTGACTTAGTGTAAGTCACTTCTTCAGAGAACAAATAACCAAATTAAAATTCATCTAAGTTTAAATAGTACAACGGAACAATGCAAGAATAATGACAAGACATCAACTTGTTCAGACTTGTTTTTGATTGATCAAATATTATTCTTGCATTGTTCCGTTGTACTATTTAAACTTGGATGAATTTTAATTTAGTTATTTGTTCTCTGAAGAAACGACTTACACTAAGTCAAGAAACGTCAGAAAATCCAATTTTCTACCCATTGGGATATTACAGATATATTACTTTTATTTATAAGAATCAACCCAATGCTCAATTTATTCGAAATTATCAAATCAAACCTTGGTAATGACACCTACAATAAACTAGTTTATCAACGCTAATATAACTACCTAACTCACGATATAAATATTCTTGTACAGAAACCATAAACATATATTACACTTGTATTTATTACATAAACTATACCGAGTGTTCAATATACATAAGGAACATTTTTTTAAATTGCTGTCGACATCAAGTTTTTAAATGATGAAATTTTCTTTACAAGATAAATATAAACATTACATAACAAGGTAAGTGGTGATGTAATATAGAGTTATTTTGTCAAACATGGTGTACAATACAAACAAGTGCTTTAAAAAAATTGAATAAAAACTTTGAAGTACACTTCATACGTGGTCAAGTTGAACTTGTTTTATTTACAGCATGATTATTATTAAGGTATGATTTCTCCTTATTTTTAGTGAAAGTGAAACCGCCTACTCTAGGAAAACTTCTGCTGTTAAAAAAAACTGAAAACTATGAAGTTGTGACTACTACTATCAAACCCCGCAGTCGAAATGATGAGGCAGGAAAGTTTTAAACCGTTTAGAATCTTCTGTATCCTAACCTACCTATATTATCACTAAAAAATTACGTACCTTACAATCCGTATTATTTATACGATTTGTTTGTGAAAAGTAAATCAAAATAGAATAGGTATTATGAAGAAGTGAATAGTTGGTACAACCGGGTTTACTTTGGTTAATTTACGGAACATTTATAATATATTTACATTATATTCTTCGGGACAGCAGCCTACTTCATCACTAAATAAGAGCATTATGTAAGGCTATGGGTGTAATATTTCCACTTGTCGAACGTTTTATTGTAACTATTCTTGTATTGATCTTATTTATTTTGAAAAATATTTTCCAGTACCAGTAGTTTTTTTCTTGATATTCATTTTATAAATACAACACTTTCACATGTGACGAAATTCATCTTGATTTGCTTGTAATTATCCGTTCCATTATTCAATATTCATACTTATAATGTATATGTCAGTATATCAAAACCAGACTATCACTCAAATATTGATTCGGATAGTGATTAGTATTGACTGCTTCCTTATAGAGTCGTTGATTTCCACTGTAGGATTTGAATCAAGCACCCAATGTTTCAGACGGTACTGTGTTAGATGTCAAGATTAGTGATTTATAATAATCAACCCCTGACCTTTGAATCTGATGCACTCGTGATCATACTCCCTACACCGATCTTCAAAGTTGAATTAAATAACTAGTTTGACAATGAAAGCCTCATGAATTGGTAAACAGCATATTCTTAATTACACACTAAGTCACTAATAAATTTAGACAATATTGAAATATCTATACAACAAATTCATAAGCCATTAAAGACTGGTTAATTTAATCCTGAGAATCAATCACTTAAAAGTCAATACTTTTATTTCATGTCTTCATTCAACGTATAAATATGGTAAGATAATATCATTATACTAAATCAATATTAACTAAAATAGTTTATTAGTTAAACAGTAAAGAGAATAAATATCTTCCTTACCGGTTGTCTGTAGAAATGAAAACCAAAACAACTGAACTATTTATATTCATAGAAAACTCTACATAGGTACAATATATATATATATATATATATATATATATATATATATATATATATATATATATATATATATATATATATATATATATATATATTCACTGCAAGGTTATTTATTCTTCAAATCAAAACGTAGAATGTCAAATAACGGAAGTTGTCATCGGTTAAAACAGAATTTATTTCAATTACTGTATAAATCTTGGAAATGTATGTTACAAAATCAATGCAACTAAGGTCATATGTTTAAACTCCCCTCCACCCCCAAATATTAATCTTGTTTTTTTGTTTTTTGTTGTTGCCACTACATAGATTACAAGTGATTATTGAGAAATTTAAAGTTTTATATTTCATTATCATATGACAACAATTTTAATTAACTCTTAGATGTTTAATTTTTTTTCTGACTAATGTAGATCTTTTAATGAATTAAGGAATGACAGATTTGACATGAAATTATTATTCTAAAGATAAAAAAACTTTGTCACAGTTGTAGTATTTATGGTTTCTTTTTTTTTTGCATCTTAGAAATGAATATTTCACTTATGATTATTGAATGATATTTTACAAGAATTAAGAATCAACTACAGTTGAATTTCAAACTAATAGTGGTGATAGGTTGATATTAATTATTTCCATTAGTGTATATATACATATATATCGATTATTATCATGACTGACCTCTGTATGGCAGGTTATGACTGATGAATGTGGTTTAGAAAAAAAATTTAAATTAATGTAAAATCTTAGTTGTTTAAGAAAGTTCAGTAAGTAGTCGTTAAATCTCATACTTAATCCTAAATAGAATATTATCTTTATAAACATTTACATATAACTTTAACTAATAAATTGATTCAAGCAAAAGTATTACATTTATAACATCAATTCTAATTGATAGATTTCATTGAAATTATCATTTGATATCTAATTTATCACTAAGATTATCTACTACAAACTATAAACATAAAATTGAAATCAGTTAAAAAGATCAAAATGTATTACTTCAAAGTATGATGTCAGGAAGTTAATACTTATAACAGGAAATGCAAAAAATCGATAACACTAACAATAAAATAAAATGTTAGTTTCTCATTTGATTTTTTCCATCAAACGTATCTATATTTCAATATGTATCATATTAAATACGTTGATAAATATATAATATCAGTGTAAATAAACTTATTTTTCATTATGGCACAAGACACATTATATGTCATAGGCATCCAAATGCCCTGGTACGGCCGAGAGTGGGGAGAGTTCGCTCTCATTCTCAAAATGCCCTCACATGACCACGCGTATATAACCTCTGCCGGTGAAGTCCTACTCATTGCCTTCTCGTGGTGGGGGTGTTGTTTACGAAAATGAGAGGACGAAAAGGGGATGTCCGGCGCTTTAACCGGATACCAAATCAATGATGCACATGGGCTCCAGTATCCTGCGGGAACAAATGGCGTATGAACCAATCGTTGGTCACCGGCTACTATGGGACCGCATGTCCTTACAATGTCCCACTGCCTTGTGGATCAGACCTTCAGGTCGAAGGCTCGGGGTGTGGCCCCCTAAGATAACCACCTGTTTCGGTTTGGGCACCCGGGAGGTATCACAGCCCTCACACATATCGAATGAGATTTGTGTGGCGCATATGAATTTGGTGCTTTCTTGTAAATAAATAAAATATGTCATATAATATCATTAAATAGGATGTTGTTATAAGCTAATTTCAAATTGTTTTTTAACTAACCCCCCCCCTTAGAATGTTACTATTATATAAATATTACAGAAATATAGTTAATTGAAACCAATCTATTAAGTGGCTAAAGCATTTAGTTATAGGCGTTAATGAAAACCCAGAGTACTTTTATATTGTAGTTGCAAAATTGTTACTTATTAAAATTCTATTTCTTAAAATAAACATTATAAAGCTGTCAATAGATATTATGTCATAATATACTATTAAAAACACTGTAACATCATTTTTGTCTATCCTTTGTTTGTTATTTTTTTATTTCATTTTATTTTTTGTTTGTTTTAGATTTCAGCATTCATAACATAAGACAAACTGTTTTCTGTAATACAAAAAAAGGGATTGAATGTTAAAATGAAACATTTGTCTGATTGGTTACTTTCCATTCGTTTATCACATGAATATGATTGGTTAATAATTTAGCATGGATTTCTCCTTTATATACATAATTACTTCGAAAATATATTCTTTATAAATGTAATATTTAAAATGATGTACAATATATATAACACAATGAAGTTATCTTGTCACATTCTTTTTGGAAATGTCTATTTAGAGGCCCTAATGAACCGTTGATCAGGTTTAAGTTTTTATAAAAAAACGATACAATCTCTAAATTAGTAATTAACTAATTTATATTTTCATAGTGATTACATAACATTTAGCATAATTTCAAATTAATAACTTGATTAATTATTAAATAGTATTAGTTTAATTTTGACAAATGAATGCAGATTACGTTTGGAAATTATCCAAATTTGGTCGTCTTACATCAACTCGTTTAAGATCTGATGATGATTTTGCTGATCGATTAAATTATCAATTTACTGGACTATTATTATTTGTATTCATTGGAATTATAGGTATACGACAGTATGTTGGTAAGATGATATGTTTTCCATTTTTCTATATATATTCATAAGTTGATTGGGTTGTTTTTTCTTACTAGTTTTGTCAACTGAGTTAAAACAGATGTTCTAAGTGAAATAGATTCCAATGTGAAATATTTTGATATGGTATTATGAAATAAGATATAAGTAGTCAACAATATACCTATCCGAATCTTTGTACAGTATGAAATAGAATGAATGATTGATAATGATAATAATGAGGTTATATTTTGTTAATAGCAGTATGTTATTTACAAATTGTGGCATAAAGCTTTATGGAACGTTAACTTATTTTCTACGTATTAGTTGTGAGAATTTGCTGAAACTGTACAAATGCAACTATCAAAAAATATTTTTACAGTTCAACTTTATTCTTCATATGCAACTAAGTTCACAAGTATTGGATTACTCAGTTCTAACATAATACTCAGATAGATGATAGACTAAACATGATATTTATTAGGAAATGGTGAAGTAATATGAATGTGATCCTGTGAAATAAAGAAAATAATTACTGGCTTTTTTAGATGGATAGGTGAATGTTTTGGCAACTATTTAAGGTGTCATTATTCAAACAAATTATGAGGAGAGTTAAACACTGTTAACGTGTGAACGTACGATATTTAGTTCGTTAGGATTGTTTCCGAACTGTCATTATTGATAGTACTAGCTTGATCACGTACATGTTTTATATAGAATCGCCACATTGTTGACATATGTAGCTGGTCAACTATCTCTTAAATTCAGATATATTTTCTTATTTTGTCTTGTTTCAAATCAATAACTCACCATTTAGGGCATATCATTCCGAACTACTAGATATAATGTGTGCACCTTGTTTCGTTTGCTTTAGTTTGAATAGCCAGGTAGCATCACCGAAATAAAGCATCTGAGATAAATAGTAATGTTTGAACAGAATTACACAAAGGTATACTTGTTAAGTGATTAAGATGACTTAATTGACATTGGTAATTTGTTTTGCTTTAATAAATCTTAAATGTATACTTTCTTTTGGACAACATGAGTAGGCTACAAAACTATGTTTCCTATTCGATTGTTTTAACGTAACAACACGTAATCTCTTTAAACACATCGTGCCAAACAGAAATACTTTTGCAGCAATATCACTCAAACATTTAACATTTGTCATATTTGTCTCTCAATTAGTGAAAAAATGTTTTGTAAAACTTTCAGGTAAACTTCTTAAAATGTTACTAGAAAATCAAATGAATTAATTGTCAATTTAAACAACTTTACAAAATATCACAGAAACAAACTTCTCGGTTGTCAAATTAATCATTGAAACTTATGTTAACTAGTCATTTATTTGATACTTCATTTATATAGTTTCCAATATACAAATACATAAAGTGTAGTTTTGTTATTTTTTCTTTGAAATTCATATTATTCTATATTTCTTTTTCGTTAAATGGTTGGTTGATATAGCTACTGTGAATAGTAGCAAACAATAAAAGTCAACTTTCCAAGAACGCTTAATTAATTTAAATTAATAGGCTGAATTTATATTTGTTATACAAACGTGACCATATCTGTTTAATTTATGTGTATTTTTGTGTTCATGTTCTTAATTACAATAAAATATGAGAAAAAACGTTTGACACTTCCAGATTTTTCTAGTTAATATAAAATACAAACTTTTATAACATCAGTGAATCTAGAATTGACTAACGGTGATGTATGTGAAATGATAAAGAATACATAAATGAATGAGAAGTAGATGCTGATTATTTTATGCAGAAGGACAACCAAAGCTTAACGACTAAACAATCTTGCTCAAATAATACAATACCTGTAACAACACATCATGTGTATATGATAGTAAGTTTTAACAATCCACACTGTCAACAATGTTTCTTTACATGACATGATGACCTTAATATTATTATCAAGTCAGTTCACAAAAAAAAGAGATCTAATCGATTAATGTTCATAGAAAATAGTCTTAATAGTTGAGATCATGAGTCATTTGAAGCTAGTCCTGGAAGTACTGGACGACCGATTTGTCCTATAGTGGGACTCATCAGCAGTGCGTGTCCACGATCCCGCTCCGCGGGATTCCAACCCTGGATCTGTCAGTGTCGCGCGCGGGTGCTTAACCTCTAGTCCACTGAGCTAGAATCCACCGGTGTTAATTTCTGACTTCGACCAATCCAAGGAATTGAGCGACACATTCACTATTGTCATCAGTGAGTTACTATCTCACAACAGACCCGGTTGAGCTCCACTGGTCAATGCTTCTCACTAGGTTCTCCATGATGGTTTAGCTTCAGTTGATTCATGATCTCAACTATTGAAATTACTACAATCTCAACAAAACCCCTACTAATGACAAAATATTTACACTGATTTGTTGTTAAAATGAAATAAATAATTGAACTAGTCAAACTATTCGTACTGTGGGATATTTCAGAATGAACATTAATGTTAAATACGTTCGATAATTCTTTTTTCTTTTCTAACAGATTAATTAAAATAAACTTTAAGAAGTGTACATCATTTTTAAAATTATTTTATTTCATCAGAAGGAGTTTTGTAGATATTATAGTAATTTTAATAGTTGAGATCACAGTGGAGCAAGATTTCTATATATCATGTGATCTTATTTGACTATTAGAATTCATTTGTTCCTTTAGCTATTTGGGTATATGTTCCGCCACCCTCATTTGCATGTTCGTTATAAATAAGGAAGGATCATGTAAATTCACCTAAACTTTAAAAAAAGTTTAATTGTTGAATTCATGAGTCAATTGAAGCTAGATCACCATGGAAAATATAGAAGCACTGGACAGCCGTTTCGTTCTAGTATGGGACTCATCAGCACTGCTTCCAGGTTTTCCATGGTGGTTTAACCTTAATTGACTCATGATCTCAACTACTTGTTTACCAGTTTCTCCAGCTTAAATTTAATAGAAAATAATAATTTTTTTCCCTTAGTGTCTATCTTATATGCTTAGAAAGACAATAAAATAGTAATCAATATTTCTTCGACTCATCTATACTAATAGATTAGTCATAAAAAAACAATATTCCTCTTCATATAAAGTGATATATAAATTTGAAAACAAAATTACTATTTAAACAAACGAATGTTTTCTCTTTTTTTTCTCTCTATTTAATTATTATTATTATTATTATGTTTTTATTACTGATGTACATTGTGTAAAATTATGGGGACATTTTCAAGTGAAACAAAATATTGTTTTATCCCTAAAGAAAGTTTTATGAATTCGTAACTTCTAGCGTTTCACGATAGAGGAACAAATTAAAATAGACTGTTACTATTCTCAGCTTTTTTTGTTTTTCAAATGTGTACATAAAGTTCATTGTTGTTTTAATGTACAGAAATCAATTATTCTCTTTTTCTTCATTATATTTACATAATTTGATTTGTATATATATATAGGCTTCAAAATACCACCGCTACTAAAATATTCTACCATTAAATTTATTATGGATGAAATTGAGTTCTCAATAGATATTATCCATGTATTTGAATATATGAAATCATACACAGTAAATATTGATTTTAGCGGTATAAGTATTAGTGATTGTAAAGGCAAAAATTATGGCATTTGTTTGATAAGATGGTGGTTGGAGGAACTACGTTTCGTGCTACTCGGTACTCATCAGCAAGGTGTACCTGTAATATTGGGGGAACCGATGCTCTCTGACGTATTCAATCCCGTGTCACACAGTTTCACAGTTAGAGATGTTACCATCAAGCAATCCGGGCCTGGACTGACCTTCTGTAGGACTGAGATGTATTTATAATCGATTGATCACTGAGTGGTGATCAATGTCATGTATATCGAGTCCTTCTTAGTGCGGATTGAATCTTATCGACGAAGTTGCAATTTGTTTTGTATAACTAGTAATTTATTCAACAGTAAACGTTTAGTGAAAGCAAGTAATTCTCAGCATACTACATGTACCATTTTAAGAAAATTAAGCACGGTGGTAAATCGAAAACTTATTTGTACTTTTAGATTTAGATTCTTTAGAAAACCTTCAGCAAGACAAGAAAACACTCATTTTTTCTGTTCTTGCAATATACCTACCTTCGTTAGTACATTCATATTAGTAAAGACAGTCGGATATAGGGCATGATGGATAGAAATTAATCTTTGTTTGAGCTATTAAACATCATGTTGTATATTTTGCGATCAAATTCGCTACAGTAAAATGTTTGGTTTAAAACTCCTTTGAAATTTTGATGAATTGTAGTGAGTTTAGCTCCTATGTATTAGTATTTCTAAGTCCTCCATATTTTCGTAATTATATGAAAGAAAAATTATCTTACATAATATAGAATTGTAACAATAATGTATTTGTAAAAACTTATGTGAAAACTTCAATTCTTAACCCTATCCACATACCAAACAACCTATATTTTGCTCATGGAAAATTTGTTTCTAAAATCACCAACAATGTCAATAGTTCTAAATGACTAAACTTATTAACTTGTATACAACTGAAGAGGAAGTAAGAAATTACAGTGAATTCATTATTTTCTGCAAATATTGTCATTCTAAATTTCTTTGAATTTGTGAAGAAAACCAATTGCATGAAATATCTATTTGAGAATCATTCAAAATTGTATTTAGTCAAAAGTATATTCAGCAAATAATTTTATTTATTATTCAGTCACAACGTAGAACTTTTTACGTACATATATCAGTTCGAGTTACCATACCATATTAGCACAGAGATACAATTGTCGATTCGAATCCCGTAGTTGTAGAGGTGGTAAGAGTATAAGTAGTAATCGAAATGACTGGGGTTTGAAGATGTTATTCAAGGAGTGTAATCCAGTGAACTAAATTTGGAAAGAGAAGAAAAGGAACATGGAGAATTCAGAAGATTAGAATTTGGGAGATCACAAAGGGTGGATGCACTCACGCCATTGCAAACGATTTTGAGCCATGTCATTCAAGGTCTCTAACCATCGGTTGCTATCGTCTCACAGATCC